AAACCTTTCTATAATTGTAATGATATTCAGAGTCAAGGAATTTGTTTCATTGGGAAAAGAAATTTCCAAAAATTTATTGAACAATATATTGAACCAAAACCGGGAAAATTCATAGACATTGACAGTGGAGTTGTGGTCGGAAATCATGACGGAATCCATTTTTGGACATTAGGACAGAACTGCAGAATCGGAGGAATGAAACACAAATATTTTGTGGCCAAAAAAGACCCTGACACTAATGATATATTTGTTGTAAGATCTAAACTAAAATGCAATTACAATATTAGATGACATTTTCAAATAGCCTACAGTATATACAGTACAGTATCATAATTATACAGAATATTCTGATTCTTACAGTCATTATTGATGAAGAAATGTTAAACTTTATTTTGTAATTTAGGCCTCGAATACGAATCATTCATCGCTTTACAGCAATGAGATGGTGGTTAAGAACACCAATTGGATCCGTTGTGAACCACAGGTATTATCTGATGGACAACCATTTGAGTGCGAGTTTAAGTTCCAGCACACGGATCAGCCCCAGCCCTGTCTGGTCACCAAAATAAACACCAATGAATTGCATATTCAGTTATATTCACCGACTCGTGCCTTAACTGATGGACAGGTATGTCATATGATATAGGATTAAAACAAACTATTAATTAACAAAAGTTTATTTCAAAAGTTTGCAGTCATTTATAAAGACAATGAATGCTTGGGAAGTGCTCTCATCGACCGCTACTGGTATTCATGACATCACTAATTGTGTCCGTATTTAATAAAACAAAATATTAGTCCAATTGATTGAAAGGTTGTTCACAATAATGCGATAATAAGTCTTAATTATAGTATATTTTTGTTATTAAATAAATTTTTACTGTAATTTACAAAATTTTCAAAACCCTTTTAAATGCCGTAATTAATGGCAAAAAGTGATGAAATGTTTTGGCATTTGATTTGATTTGTAATAAATTGTCGTTTGTTTTGATGACTGATTTGAAGACACAATGAGTGATCAGTTGGACACATGTGGTGAAGGATTGAGTGATGACTCCACTGATGCCACCATTGGTGAGGCCAGTGATGGGAAGGGAGGAAATGGTGTGAGTGTTGGGCCGACTATTATGAATCTGAATGACATGAAGGCGGGAATGCAAGGTCTGGACTCCGATCGGATCAACCAAATGATCTTCGAGTGGAGTAATGGCTCACACTTTCACTCGTTTCAAACGAAACGCCAGAAACGCATCGATAATGAGATCCAATACATGAAGACCCGGTTGAGTCGGATGACTGAATGGCAACGAATGCAATGTCTGAAAGAGGCGGACAGTGCTGTGAGTCGTCTCGAGGCTCAGAGGAGTATGACTCGCGTGATAGTTCACATCGATTTGGACATGTTCTTCGCGGCCGTCGAGACCAAACTGCGACCGGAACTGGTGGGCAAACCGATGGCAGTGGGGGGAGACATGATGTTGGCCACCAGCAACTACGAGGCCCGCAAATATGGCATCAGGTCTTGCATTCACTGCAATCTCTGTTCACTTTAATTGCCATTAATTTGATTGTCTTTGCGTTCAGACCAGGAATGCCGGGAGCTTTGGCCAAACGCTTGTGTCCGCAACTGATTATCATATCTCATAGTTCTGGCAGTTATTCCAAAGAGAGTGCGGAAGTGATGAAAATAATCCGTGAATTTGATCCCAACTTAAATAGTTCAATGAGTTTGGACGAGGCGTACATCGATTTAACCGATTATGTTGTGGACACCTATTGTCATCGACATCCAGACTTCGACAGACAATCACTTAATGGATGTAAACAACTGCCGAACTGTTTGTGGGATTTGGCGGCAGAGATTGTCTCCAATTTAAGGCAACGGATCTTAGATGAGACACAACTGAGTGCCAGCGCCGGCATTGCGTGCAATACAATGATAGCCAAAGTGTGCTCTGATATCAACAAACCCAACGGTCAGCACATGATTCGCGGCAATAGACTAGAGATCGAGAACTTCTTAGAAAACACTGCCATTAGAAAGATCTGTGGTATTGGACCCGTTAGGGGACAGTTCTTGACAGCATTAGGCCTTAAGACCTGCAAAGACTTGTACTTCAAACGTGATATAATTAGGTTTGCTTTCACTCAATACAACGCTGAGTACTATTTGAGTGTTGGGTTAGGAGTTGGAAGACATGTGATCGCCAAAGATGAAGATGAAAGGACACGAAAGAGCATCAGTTCTGAGCGCACTGTCAGCCAAATCAGTTCATTTGAAGCCATTTCTGAACTATTGGCTGAATTGAGCGAAGAGTTGTCCGAAGATCTGAACTCTAAGAACCAGAGCTGCAAAACAGTGACGATTAAGCTTAAGAAAGTCACTTTTGTCGTTACCCTCAGATCCCTTACGCTTCCGTTTCATACATACGATTCGGAGACTATATTGAATGTCGCAAAGAGTTTATTGCAGACAGAGCTCAACAACACTCCTCCAGAGTGTCGCAAATATAGACTAATTGGGCTTAAAGTTTCAAATTTGATAACCAATGAACCGATTAGAAAGTCATCGCAAATGACTTTATCTCAAATCTATAGAGCGTTGAAAAGCAATTCAAATAAAGAAACCAAAGAAATGAACCAAATTTGTGATGAAACAGAAAAGGAGTCTAAAGTGGAAGCAGAAGCAAAGGTAGCCAAAGAGGACAACGAGACTAAGGAGTCGTTGGCCATCAATACAACCAATGATAACAAAAACACGAATATGTGAACCAATCTTTGTATGAGTCGGGTCTATACGAGTGTTCCGTCTGTTTTCAGACGTTTGCGTTGAGGAATGTCTTCGAGTGTCACGAGAATGAATGCATTGAAGATATGCTCAAATTGTCGACAGAAGAGCACTCAATAAGTTCTGATTGCGAGCCAACGACCACTTCTCACCACATTTCTAGTCCTCAAACCAGTGCTGAATCTAATGATCATTCGAGTTATTTGTGTCCAATTTGTGGCATTCAGTTGACGCTCAAAGACAATCATGAATTGAATGCTCACATCGATGTCTGCCTTAATAAGGACAAGTGTCTCGAGTTAACACAGGTTTCATCCCTTCCCTCAACTCATAACTCGACTCCTAATCAAAAGCCGACAAAACGTTTCAATTCTGACACCAAAATAAATGGTAAAAAATCCCAAAAATGTGATTCAAAGAGATCGCGAAAACAGTCATTAAAGTCTCAGCAAACTATAGATACATTCTTTCGCTTTCGCTCGCAATAAATGTTTTTCGCAATTAATGTACGTTTTGTTTAAAATGTTTAAAATTCACTGTTTGATAAATATTGTAATAATCATTAAATCCATACTATTATATAATGGATTGAAAGTAACTCCAAATATATTTTCTATGATAAGCTATTTTCTAATTCATATTTTTATTGCAATTAACAATAAATGCTTTAAAACATGATATGTTCAGTGAATTGTCATTTGGTTAGTGCTGTGAACACTGAGAGCACGTATAGCCTCAACAGCACTAGTGTTTGGATTTGTGTAGAATTGGTGTCAGAATTGAGTGCAAGAAGAGTGTGAAACCGATCGATAGATTTGGTCGAAAGCGCAGTCGTATGAGTGGTATATATATGATAGTCGTATGAATTGGTTGGAAATCATGAGTCACTACTGCTTACAGCTATAGCTTTGGCCAACAGTTGTGTTCATATAAATCAATAGATTCTCTATTCTTTGGATCCCTGGACGCCCTCTTCTCTCGTCTCTCTTCTCTCTCTTCTCTCTCTCCTCTCTCTCCACTCTTTCACAGTATCTCTCGATTCGAAGCAATCATTTGTTTGAATCCATGGATTCAATGGTTTCACTCAATCCATACATCCATACAGTGATGGAGTGATGTCTCAATTATTGGGCCCATAATTGCTGCACAATTGAGATGTGGTTTAAAATATTGGAAATATTATTACATTAACTCAACACATACTCAGAGCCTGTGTTCGCTGTGAAGTGATTGAACGCATCCTACCATCACTTATCAGTTGTTGAGTTTGTGGTCATATTGATGATTATCTCTCTTCCCATTGATTGTCTGCTTTGCAAACCTATGCTCTGAAACAGCGATTCAAAGGGAGAGACAGTGTTTGACAATCGTTGAGAACAAGTGTCTGACAGTCAAACGGATCTCACGGTTGACGCCGAGTGTTGAGTCGCTAATGATATCCATATAAGACATATGTTGGACATGAGTGTGAATCGAAGCAGATATGAAGTGCCGGCAGAGCTCACGAATCTTCTGCTAGACTTCACTGTCAGTGTTTTGGTGAACAAACCTCCGGATCTCTTGGAATACGCGACCATTTATTTCAATCGTCTCCTCGAAGAACGACAGCATTCCTCTCATCTCTTGACTAATGTTAACGA